ACCAAGATTATTGGTTATGGTGTTTAGTTGTGTTTTTTAAGTGTATGTGGCTGTGCGGGTGTATGTGCTGGTTGAGGTGTGTGAGCTATAAATATGGTTTGTGGTTGTGGTTTTCAGTTGTGGTTTTGATTTGGGGGTTTCCAGTGGTGGAGTGACCCCACCCCCACACGAGTAGTGAGTAGTGTGGTGACAAACATCAAGTGAAATAAAATAAAATAAAAAATATAAATATAAAAGTGAAATAAAAATTTTAAAATCTCCCCCCCCCCCCCCTCCCCATTGTTATGTCCACGCACATTCCCGCACAGCCCCCAGCACCACGCGCAGCGCGATCGTTAAACTGAACACTCACGCTGACGGTGAGACACACCTTGAATATGGTTAAGGGGACATTAGCGTGACTCCTACTTCTCGTTATACATGCCGCGGCAGGCCTGTTGGTAAACGACCTAAGAGGACGAGTTTGTCACTAGGATGTCACTAGAAAAGACCAAATTGAAACTATTTACAACAAAAAAAAACCGTTTTTGAACAAAACTAATAATATAGGAAACTACAAATAGATATTAAACCATTAAGATATTAATTACAATATTATGTGATAATGCTGATTAACTTAACATGACACGTGTTCCATTAACTTGATACTCGTAAAGGTTGTTCCCTGTAATTAGGTTAGAAGTGCATAGCATGAAGAATAACTATAGATAACATAAGGAAGGAAAGAAAGTGGTAAAAGGAAATTATAGTGAAAATGTTTATTCGTTGCGTGCAAAATATTTTTGGTATTAGGAAATAAATTTTATTCCAATCAAACAAAAACTCATCATGCATAAGCAAATCAAAAGTTTGTTATATTATTATTACATCAAACAGATAAATTTGTTGTGTAGGTTCCATATACACACATATCCATAGATCTCCATACTGGTAAGATATTGTCCGCTTTGAACTAAGTCCTCACGGATTTGTTTTTGGTACCACTCCAAAAGGTCTTTTACTAAGAAATGTATCTTATGTGTATGTATATAAACCCATGTATATTTTATATTTTTATCCGATGTGGGACTTTGTTTGTACCCACAAAATTATCTTCAATGGCCGAGAACTCAGAAAATGTAAACATTAATGAGAGGTATGCACGGCCTTCGGAGATGAGAAATAGGTTGGAAGCATAAGATAACAACGCCCAACGCTCATCGTCTAGGTGCACCCAAAATCACTTTTATCTCTATATTTATTTCGCTCTCTAATTTCATCTTCATGTCATTGCATATTAGCTTTAAGGTTTAATTAATTCGGAGGTCCCTATATTGAAGAATTGCTTCAAATAGGTCTTCGTATTTTATTTGATCTCAATTAGGTCCCTATTTTTGAAAAATTGACTCAATTGGAATCTTGCCGTCATTTGGACAGGGTGACGTTAAAATTTATGTGTCGTGGCTTGTTGACTGCACAATTGTTAATAACGTGACACAATTTGGTCGCCTTAGATTGGAGGGAAGAAGAAACACCGCCGCCGCCACGTGGAAATCATGATTGTAAAACACATCACCCATTGAATTTAATACACAATGACACGCCTTAAAAAAATTACCTCAAATGTCGTCTCTAAACACTTAACGGAAATGACTTAATTGACTCAATTTTTTAAAATTAAAACCGTTTTCAATAAGAGAACTCACTTGAGATTCCATGTTAATCGTACATTTATTGAAGTGATATTGTAGAAATTCTAAATATTCATATTAATTGTACATACAATAAAATACCACAATAAATAAGTTGTATTTTTGTGACCAAAATAGTTGCAAAATGACATTTATCACAAATTAGTGATTTTTGATAATTTCCTATGTCAATAATTTTTTAGCAATCAATAATCTCAGCAACTATATTTTCGTCATTAAATTGATAGCAATACTAATGAAAACGAAAGTGACGGTTTTGGCGATTGAATTCACGACTGAAAAAATTGTTATCCAAGCGACAAATTTGACTTTAATAGCAAAAAGAAAGTGTTGGTTTCTACAACCTAATTTGCGACCGAATCAAATAATGTTAAATTTTAATTAGTGAATAAATAGCGATGAAATAAATTTGTAATGATACTAAATGTCTAAAATAACGGTCGATAATATTATTAGTTAAATTTTTGTTGTTATTTCAGTGATTATATAAATTGAAATGAAAGTTTTTCTTCTGCATTATAAAATGTTAAAGTTTTTTTTTTTTTTTGTTGGGGGGGCTGGTGGGGGGGAGGGGGGGGGTGGGAAAAGTAGGGGGGGGGGGGGGGGGGGGGGCGGGGGGGGGGGGGTTGGGGCGTGGGAAGTGGGCGGGGGGGTGGGGGGGGGCGGGTGGGGGGGGGGGGGGCGGGGGGGGGTGGTGGGGGGGTGGGGGGGGAGGGGGGGGGGGGGGGGGGGGGGGGGAGTGCGAGGGAGGCGGGGGGAGGGAGGGGGGGGGGGGGGGAGGGTGGGGGGTGGGGGGGGGGGGGGGTGGGCGGGGGGGGGGGGGGGGGGGTGGGGTGGGGGGTGGGGGGGGGGGTGTGTGGGGGGGGGGAGGGGGGGGAAAACCAAAAACAAAAAATAACAACAAAAAAAAAAACACAAAAGGGGTGAAACAAAAAAAAAAAAAAAAAAAAAAAAAAAAAAAAAAAAGGGGGGGGGGGGGGGGGGGGGGGGAAAAAAAAAAAAAAAAAAAAAAAAAAAAAAAAAAAAAAAAGGGGGGGGGGGGGGGGGGGTGGGGGGGGGGGGGGGGGGGGGGGGGGGAGGGGGGGGGGGGGTTAAAAAAACAAAAAAAAAAAAAACAAAAAAAAAAAATGGTTGGTAAAAAAAAAAAAAAAAAACACCACACCCCGCAACCCCCAAAAACACCCAAACCAACCCAAAAAACAAAAAAAAAAACAAAACAAAAAAAAAAAACAAAAAACAAAAAAACAAAACAAACACAAAAAAAAAAAAAACAAAAAAAAAAAAAAAAAAAAACCAAAAAAAAAAAAAAACAAAAAACACAAACCAACAAAACAAAAAAAAAACACAAACCAAACCAAACACAACTTCCGTATGAATAATTCAAAGTTAATATTGTATATCAAATTAAATATTTTGGAAGTTATTATATCATGCAAAATATAACTTTTGTATTGTGTAATAAGCAAGTCATCTGAATTTTTTTTGGCATAAGAAAAACTTTCAAATGTGTAATGCGGGAATACTAAACCGGACTTTCAGGTCACGTTATATATAGAAGTTCAAATTGGCTTCCACATTTATTTTTTGCATTGTGTAATTTATTATACTTTTTCAACACGACACGTATAACAATTCGGAACAAATTTACATGTGATAGAGTGGATGGATGAGGAGGAGGGAGGGAGAAAAAAGAAAAGGAAGGAGAAGAAGGACAAGAAAAAGAAAAAAATGAAGAGGAAAACAAAGAAAGAAGAGAAAAAGGGAAAAAGGTACCAGAAAGGTGACAAGGCGCAAGAGGCGGGGTAGAAACAAACAACAAAACCACACACCACCACCCCCCCCCCCCTCTCCTCCTCCCCCCCCCACACACCCCCCCCCAACCCCAAAAACCACGAAAATTTAAAATAGATATTTATATAGATGTACCATTACAATATCCTAGATTAAATTTATCAATATTATGTGAGAAATTTTGTATGTCAAATTTAATCACCAACTTTTCTTGTAATGGTGACCTTGTTGTTTAAGTAGTTGATTGTAAAAGATACATGCCCGTCCCTCCTTACTCTCCCTTCATGTCTCGTGAGAGCTTATACAATCAGATGGGCCTGTTGATACGGGAAGTATTGATGACGGAAAGAAGAATCACATCTTGAAGGGTTGTCAAGGTTTTCTTTAAGGGTTCAAAGGTTTAATGGTAGAAAACTCTACGCAACTTGTTTGGATACCACCATGTGTTTGGATTAGTGTGAAGGTAAGGGTAGGATATGATTTTAAGGGCTATTCTCATCAGATGGATATATTATGGTCCAAGGGGAAAGAATTATCCCTTGTGTGCATCACTTACACAACACCAATGTTTGGCACTCTCATGATATATTCTTTCATATTTTTTTTGTCCTAAAGAAGAGCATTTATTTGTTTTTTTCAAGACATTTTTCAATTTTAGTAAGATCTTTGGGACTTATTATCTCCTCTGAGATAGTATCCCTAAAAACATTAGAAATGTTCCGTTTGATGATCATAATACTTATGCTAATTGAGTGATCTCATTTCTCATAATCTCTCATTTCTTTATAGGTATTAAAGTCGGTAAGAGAATTGAGTTTCTCAATCCTTAAGGTCAAGATCCATGCAACCCATAACAATTTTCATGTTCTTTTTTCAGTCTTTAAAACTTGCTCTATTAAGAACTTAAACAAAAGTTAGATTAGGAGAAATTGAAACAATAGTAACTGAATTATTGAGAACAAAATAAATGATATAATTATGCTCACATTATAAACAAATTTTCAATAGTTTTTAAAGATTGAAATTAAAATTATTTATTCTAAATTTTGATATATTTTTATTTTTAGACTTTAAAAATGAAAAATAAATAATTCTTTTAACTCAAAAGTATTAGTATTTTAGTTCAGACTAAAATTTGAATTAGAATATATAAAAATGAAATAAACAATTCAAATATCAAATATAAAACAATTAGAAAATTAAAAAAAAATCACATGTAACATATCTTTTAACATTCTTGATAATATATTACTAACAGAAATAATCAAATTAAATTAAATTCTTAACAACTAAAACTTAGGCTAACGGGAGATCTATTTAAAATATTTTAATAAAAATTAAGACGAAAAACATATTAAAACTATAGGATAAATAATTCAAAGCTTAAAAAATAGTTTGTTACAAATTTTTATTGTGTTTTTAGACGTAGAAAGCACAAGATAGGAGGATGTTGATATATTATGGAGAGTTATTATTTTAAAAATGGTTGACGTTATATAATGACATTGAATGAGGAGTTATTATTTTATAATAGCCTGAGATAATTGCATATAGGTAAGAAAAACAAGATTTGAAGACAACTAATAATTCTCAATTCCAATTCACGACAGAAGAATCATTTGAAGAATCCGAAAAATATGAAAACATTAAGTGCCATTTCATGATGTTTGAGCAGTTTTAGGAAGAAGCCCTTTTTCTCTGCATGCATCAATTGCTTCAGTATACATATCTTCCACGCTGTATTTGAATTCAAATCCCAAGTCTTTGAGTTTCTTCGAAGATAATCTTACCGCCTCCAATTCATCTCCAATCTTCTCAAACCTAAAAGTCCCATGGATTAGACATACACTTTGGTTATTCTTTATTCAAACACATGGTGTGCAGGTAAACCTAACCTGATTAGAAATATGATATTTAAATTTGGTGAGAGACTTACTCAGTGGGAACCTTGTACTCTGGGTATTTTTTGTTAATTAATTTTGCAATCTCATGAATAGTAACGTCACGTGCATTGCATATGTATCTTCCTTCTGCTTTTGCCTCTTCGAATAGAAATATGTGAGTAAGACAAATATCTTCTATGTGCACGAGTTTACCCTGTCTTATGATCCCATAATGCTCCTCTCTTCCTTCATATATGTCAAATTTTCTTCAATCAGATCTCACAATATATTATCTATTCATTTTCATATTAATAACTTTATTCATTTTCATATTAACTATCTTATAAGTAAGGAAAAAGGTGATAAAAATGAAATTATATAATTAGTTCTTCAATAAATTTGAGTAAATTTACCTAGGATAGGGGAAAGTGCTGTGATTATGCTAGATGGCATCGATGGAGGCAGAAATGGGCCAACAACAAGAGTCGGAAGGATAGTGATGAAGTCCATTCCTTTCTCTTTCGCAAATTTCCATGCTTCTTGCTCTGCAAGAGTTTTAGAAACGAAATACATCTACATTCAAACCAAGTTAAACAAAAAAACATTATTTTTTTTATAGCACATAAAGAAAAAAATC